TTTTGACGTTTCAGCATTATTGTGAAATTCGTTCCTGCTACGAACCGTTTTGTTCTGATGGTGAAAATGGAACATACTCGTCAAAAAGTAAAAGTAACATCTATGTTCCGGGCATGCAGGTACGTATGTTGAATGGGAGCTGTTCCCATGCTATCTATCTGACCAAAAAAAAGTATTCATTTTAGTTGAACAAATTTAATTAAAATCAATGTGTGCTTCCCATTAAACGTTAATCCTCTTTTAGCCTCTGGACTAATGTGTTCTGAATTTTATTCTGTAATACAAACTGTACTCAGGGACCTTCTTGATTGATTTTCAGTTAATGATTCATTTTGAACAAGATGGTATTACTACCTTTTCAAAGACTCAAATATAAATATAAAAACCAATTCCTGCATGCTTTTGAAACTTACAATATTAATAATACTTGAACCTGAATGACATTTTATCCATTTAGTTAAAGTAAACTTTAGCCCTACTCTCGGAATTTACATTGCCTAGAACACAAATCCATGTTTCCACTCTTATTAACAACACATTCAGTCAGCCGTGATCTTATGCACAGAGGACACTTTTAACATATTTTAGGAATGGAGGGGTCACAATAAGTACTTCTCCGAATTCTATTAGAAGCTGCTTTAAAAATAAGTCGCCACTCTCCATTTGGGCCTCATTTATCTGAGTCTCCGTAACGCCATTCGCGAGTTACTGCTTTTTAACCTACTACAAAAAAAGGAGAGGGCTGGGTGGATCGAAACTTGCATTTACCGACAATAGAATAACATCGCAATTTTTTTTAAAGTGTTGGCTGTTATGGTTCAGCCGTTGACGTTGATATCATTTGGTAAAGTTAGAAAATAATTAATGGAAATCTACCTCAGAATATCAGATGCAAAAAAATGCTTACTTACACCTCTGAAGGTTTACACTTCTTCCACAATAACTCCCTTGTTCGGCCTGTTCATTCTTAATTACAATATACGTTTCCGTAGAAGACACACAACGTTTAGGCCAGTTAAGTGCATACCGTAAACATTTATATAGTATGTCTCTTCTCATATCCCAGTACCTATTTCGAGCGGTATGTACTAGTAAAGTCTTATCTGACGACATCAAAAATTGAACCTGACATCTTGAGTAGAAGGCCCCTTTCAAGCTCTATAATCTCTCTTCGAAAGATCATATTATGTGTTAAAAAATTGTTTTTACATTCTGTGAAAAAAAATGCAGTTTATTTTATTCTTTTTACCAAAAAAAGAAATGTGTGGCAGCGTGGTGAAATCAGACGCTGTTCAGAGTAATGAACTCGAAGTTCCATCAAAAGCAAGTCAAATGAACAGGCTTTATACACCAATAACTCTATTTGCCCAAAGAAATGACGAACACCTGATTCCACCGTATCGTAACAACCCAAATCCTGTTTTTCCTTTACAGATCGTCAATGGAGAGTCAACACTGGCTCTCTCAGAAGGAGAAGTGAAGACTGTACGTTTAGTCTTCTCTGCGCCCCCAGCACTGCTGTGTGTCATCGGAGGACTGGGGCCAGACTGCAAGGTTCTTGCGGCAGCCACTGTTCAAGACGACTCTCCGCTCAGGTAATGTTACAAACAGCGATTGTTAAATAAACAGACAGACAAACAGACACGCACACACACATACATACACTCACACACACACACACACACACGCACACGCAAACACACACACAAACACACACACAGGCACACACATAAACACACA